AGGAGCCACAGTGGATCGCCAAAGCGGTGCATCCTTGTTCTCTCCTTTTTTTCCCCACGTCTCTCCTTAACAGCAAAGCATTTCCGTGTTTGTTCTCTAGCATATTACAAAGCATATTATTCTTCTTTATCTCCTGCCTTTGAGAGTCTACTGTGCTGGGTAAATTACGCCATATCTTTGGAGAGCTTAGAAAATGATACCGTGGGATGCCAGTCACACGGGGACACTCCCCTTTCGGGGACAGAGAGCTGCAGCACTGATTGCTGGCAGCACGGTAGGACCCGTAACGCATGAGTCAGAAGGGTGCTTTGTTCTCTTGCACTGCCTTGCCTACAGAGACAAAGCTACGAAAACCATCTTCTCCCTCAATTACCGAATATCAATTGCATAAATTCAGTTTCCCTTTTCTTAAGTGGGGTGCGCACGCATATTGGGTAAGGTGCTGCGGACCATGGCCTCTCCTTGCGAGGCTCAGACGCTGTCCTCCGTCCTTTTCAGTCAAGAGGGGACAAACATTCAGGCCTGGCCTAACCACACAGGTGACAACACTGTGAAACCAAGTGAGGCTCCTCCAAGCACAGAAGTCCCTTTCCATCATGCATTTCCCTGGCAGCTGGATAGTGTCATCTTTTTAAACTATTTTTGTCTTTTTTTAACCAAATATCAGACCGATCTCTTCATGCCCATAGTTTCTAAAGTTTATATATTGCATCCCCATTAAAGAGAACAGGCACACGTAACATGACTAAAACCAGACAATGTTATTTACAAAGGCATCAGTAACTTGACGAGCTTGCAGTCCTTTATCCAGAGCCTAGAACTGAGAAGGACGTTTCATCTCCTCCTGCAGATTGCACATTACAGACCTTGCACTACGGGGGTATCACATTCTTTATGCAAGCGCAAACAACGCTTGCAGGCCAAGAGACGAGCCAAGATATCCTATCTGCCCCGCAGAGCTTGTAGGGGCAAGAAAAAACTGCTTGGTAATCCAACAGCCAATACAGGCAATCGTTACAGGACGAAGGATAAAAATGACAGCAGGCTAACGAGCAGTAACTCACTGGATGACGAGCTTTTGCGCTTGGGGGCTTCATGGATTTCGGCTTTCAGAAAAACTAATCTTTCCCTCGCTCATATTTACACTACTAGAGCGTTCATAAAATTGTAGCCTTTGCTTTTGTTCCTTCCAAACCTGGAGCAAACCGCCAGGCAGTTTTAAACCTCATCTCACGAGGCTTTCCCTTTGCCCACCCCACTCTTGCTGTTTTGGGCTCAGTTCCCTACAGCTTGCCAAGAGATTTTTGGTAGCGTAGTACCCAAAACCAGCCGCAGAAGTCCACATACGGCCACAGCTCAGTCCTGTTTTGCTCTACAGCCCCAGTCCTATTGCTTCTGCACCCCAGGGCCACGCTGCTCCTCCATGCAGTCGCGGCACAGTGCAAATTCCTAAACTACTGAAGCAGAGACTGCTGAATTAGTTTTCAGTTCTGCCAACTCAACTCCCCACCAAGCACGTGCTATGGATCGCCTTTCCTCACTTGTTAGCCAACATTTGTTCAAATTCTGTTAATTTTTCCAGAACTCCCGCTTAAAGGCGAGCAGTGGGATTTTGTCTATACCAGCGTGCACGGCTGCGTTTACATAAGAGAACATTTTTGCTGAAATCCCCTTGCAAAACTCTGCTGATCCTGTGACGACACCTGTAGGACCCAGCCAGGGTCAGAGTTTGAAGCGCCGGCTGTGCAAGGTCCACGCTGCTGATCGTTGCCAAACCCAATGTAACTCGTGAGAAAGAGGTTTCCCAGGGGCAGACGAACTACGTAAAGACTCAGTAACCACCGTGTAACTGCAGGATCTTTGGCAACGTTTCCCAACTACAGACCCAAAGTGCACGGGCGAGCAACCAGCAGGATGTCAAGCAAAGGGTCCTTGGACAGCAGCTCAGGCATGAAACTTGTACCAGCAGCTTGGTTGGGTCTGGCCACAAATTAGCACGCTGTATTTAACATTAACCTGCCCTGCTGCCCCCCTTTCCTCTGCTTTCCTCCCCTATGCTCCAGTTCTCTGGCAGTGCGTATCCCATCTTTTATTTTGGCTGTCCCAGGCCACAGGATTAGGGCAAAACACGACTGCTTTACATCGCAAACTGGTGCTCGCTGTCATCCAGATCTGCTCTTCTGGTGCACGCCCTAGCAGAGCTCCTCAGGAAGAGCAGTCCTTGTCAGGGTGGGCCTTTCCATGTGCTACGCCATGCTTTTTTCCTCCAAAAGTCACTTTTCCTAGCCAGTAATTTCACAGAAGCATAAACTCTGAATGGGAAGGAAAACCAGACCACACATAGGACGGGCCGATAGGCTGTGTTTGAGGGAACGGGAAGGGGCCTCGTGCAGCCGCAGCGAGGATTACGGGAAGCCTCGAGCTCGCCGCAGGACAGACAAGCTGCAAAACACAGCCGAAGAATCAAAACTCAGACGAGGTCTGCCAAAGTAAAAAAGGGAAAAGAAAAAAAATCTACAGCCCTTTGCATAAACTCCTGCAACGTTAAGGACACGCGGACAGAGAACCGTGTTTGGCTGCTTCTACACACCGCTTCCCGGTTGCTGTCGCGACAGGTTGATTACGCACGCCGCCGGGCTTCCAGGAAACGGGATCGTCCCCCAGGACCCCCAAAACCGGCAGAGAGCCTTCCCGAAGGAAGATTCCCCTCTACGCGCCCTGCGGCGGAGCGCGGCGGCCGCGCTGGGGCGACCGAGGCGGGGGCGCGGAACGGGAGGCGGCGCTGGCCCCACGCTGCGCGGGGGCTCCGGCGGGGGCGGGCGGCCGCCCCGCCGGGCGGGGGGGGGCAAGCAG